GCTCCAAGGCGCCCACAGTGATTTTTGCCTCCTGGCTGTCACACTCCTGTAGAGTCCCTTTCCACAGGGAATAGGACTGGTCTGTGTAACCAACAGGACATTGCAGAAGTGATGGAGTGTGACTTGCGTGGTTAGGTCATAAAAGGCTTCGTCACTCCTCCTTGCTTTCTCTTCCTCTCTCTTGGGTCAGTCACTATAGGGGAAATTGGCTGCCATGTTGTGAGGACACTCACGCAGTCCTGTGGAGAAATATGTGGCTGAAAAACGGAGCAAACTTGTCAGCCATGTGAGTGAGCCGACCCTCGGCCCCAGTTAAACATGCAGAAGATTCAGCCCAGCCAACGTCGTGAGCCAACTAAGCTGCTCCCCAATTCCTGACCCACAGACACTGTGAGATAATAAATGACCACTGTTGTTTCAAGGGGCTACCTTTGGGGGTTACTATTAGGTAATGTTGTCATCCCTGTTTTATAGATGAGGAAATTGAGGTACAGAGAGTTCAAGTAACTTGTCTCAGGTCACACAGTTAACAAGTTATTTAAATCCTGGCAGTTTGTGACTGTACGAGGTTCATGCAATGAATTAGAATCCCTCTTTTATAGGACGGAAGACACTCTGGAGAGAGAAAAAGCGGGAGAGAGAGAGAGAGAGAGAGAGAGAGAGAGAGAGAGAGAGATCTGGCTCACAGTACAGCATGGAAGACTTGGACTAGACTTCTGTAACGTGCAGGTAGTTACAGAGGGAGAGCTCTGCTGCCTTGAGCTCAGCTGTGATGAACTCAGGACCCATGCTGGGCATGTGACGCAGCCTTGGGTACCTGGGGCGGGACTCTGATGCCCCTGAGCTGTCACAGTGTGATAAGACCAGAGATCTCAAGGGCCATGATGGAGTCTAGTTCATCTGTGCCCCTTGCCTAGCACAAGGCCAGCAAGAGCAGGCTTGTGGGGGGGCGGGGCGGGGGCAGCGGCGGGGAGGTGTATGCTGAAGGCCCTCTGGCCCTAATCCTGGCCTGAGAGAGAATTCATATTCACACTTCCCTTTAACAAGTCATCACTGGGGACACAGCAAGAACGAGGATGACCCTGTTTCTGGTTTGGGGAGCTCCCCATTGGATGGAGGGTTCAACGACAACGACAGCCCAGTGTGATCAGAGAGATGGGGACACACAGTGTTGTGGGAGCTGGGAGCAGGCAGGCGCTCTCTGGAGGAGACTGGAAGGCTTCCCAGAGGAGGAGACATTTGAACTGAGGCCCAAAGGATGACTAGAAGTCAACCAGTGCAAGAGTGTTCTAGGCAGAGGGTACAGCCTGGAGGAGGCCTGAAACTCCCGTTCTTGGGGAGCAGGGCGAAGGAGTAGAGTGTGCATAGGGTGGGCTGCTGGGCCTCTGGTGGCTCCGGAGGCAGAATATGGAGGCTGAGGTGGAGCAGCAGATGGAATGCCACCTGTTTCCGTTTCACGGGGAATCATTGTACTCGGGGTCGGGTTTGAGGGTTTTCTTTGGAAACCCAGGAGTGTGCACGGCCCATGTGTTTGAGTCGGTCGAGAATGAAGAAGGAGAGGACAGATGAAGACAAGAAGTCCACTGGGCAGCAGAGGTTGTACCCGAACCTCCGTGTCCATTTGGTGTCTGGTATGTGCCAAGGGTTAGGCGTTCTCCCTTTGCCCCTCACTGGATTTCAACCACGTATGTGCCCTGAAAAGGTCCCAGTTCTGCTATGTAGGTTCGAATACTGGCTCTGCCATTTACTAGCTGTGTGATTTCCCGTTCCTCTGTTTGCTTACCTGTAACATCGGGTAAAGGTAAAGCCCGCCTTGTGGGGCTGTTGTCAGGACTAAATGAGTTAAAGCAATTAAAGCACTTAGAATTCAGTGGTTCTCAACCTTCCTAATGCCGAGACCCTTTAATACAGTTCCTCATGTTGTGGTGACCTCCAACCATAAAATTATTTTCGTTGCTACTTCATAACTGTAATTTTGCTACTGTTATGAATCGTAACGTAAATATCTGATATGCAGGATGGTCTTAGGCGACCCCTGTGAAAGGGTCGTTCGACCCCCAAAGGGGTCGCGACCCACAGGTTGAGAACCGCTGACTTAGATGGTGCCGGACCACCAGCAAGTGTACAATAAGTATTGACTATCACCAGTGACGGCGAACCTATGACACGCGTGTCAGAGGTGACACGCGAACTCATTGTTTTGGTTGATTTTTCTTTGTTAAATGGCATTTAAATATATAAAATAAATATCAAAAATATAAGTCTTTGTTTTACTATGGTTGCAAATATCAAAAAATTTCTATATGTGACACGGCACCAGAGTTAAGTTAGGGTTTTTCAAAATGCTGACACGCCGAGCTCAAAAGGTTCGCCATCACTGGACTAGCACTATGACTTGATATGCTTTTCCTTTTAACTTGATTTCAAGTATTTAAACATCATTTATCTGATGCTTGTTATATGTCAAGCCTGTGTTTATCCTCTGAATATAAGAATGATAAGACATATTCCTCCTGGGGGTACAGAAACCTTCAGTAAAGGCAGGAACAAACTTTCGTAAAATGTGGCCTGTGCTAGGGCCCCAGAAATGCAGGAGAGCTGATTCCTGCCCTTGGGGAGATCACAGGCTGACTAGGAAGAGAGGCAAGTGGCCCAAATTGGGGAGAGGAGTCCAGAGAACCTCTGCGGAGGGGCTGTCGAGAGACAAGGAGCGCCCTTGTTGGCACCTGGTCATTTGTGAGATCGTGTGAGAAAAGACCCCCTTCGGAGGGGAGGTCAAGGAATGCCTGGGCTCAATCTATATTGTTTGAGTGTTGAGAAGTCATCAGCATTTTTTGAGCAGGGACTTGTGTTTGCATCATAGCAACATAACTAACAGTTATTATGCAACTACTGTATACTACATGCTATGTATACACAATCTTATCTAACATAATCCACACAAAAACACTGTGAAGTGAGTACTGTCACCATTCCCATCTTACAGATGAAGAAACTGAGCCACAAAGGTGAAGTGAGTTGCTCAGGGTCACATAGCGAGGAAGGGGAAGAACAGGCGTAAGCCCAGGCAGTCTCACCCAGACCTCATGCTCTTAAGTGCTCCATACATTTTTGTTGAAATCATACCTGTATTTCATTGTCTGCTGATGGTCCGTCTCCCCACCAGTCAGAGACTTCACAGGTCTCTGGGGCTGGGGCCTTGTCTGATGCACCTTGGCACCACCTCTAGGCCCAAGACAGGGTTGGCACAGAGCAGGGCTGGAATATGTCTGTTGCATGACTGAATGAGCAAGGATAGAAGGGGTAATGGCATGAGTACCTGCTGGGCTCTCCGTCGGGTGGCCACAGCCATTGCCAAGGGGCTGCCCTTTGTGGGAAGTAATAGGGCTCAAGAGGCTGTTCTAGAAACAGAGGGGCTTCCAGGCCTGGGACTAACACCTCCTGCAGCCCCATCTTCTGCCCCTCTGCAATGGAAATGAGAGGGCAAGAGGGGAGAGGGGGTTGACCTACACTGGGCCTGGGCACCTGTGAGCCTGTCTCTTAGTGGCCTAGGCCCTTAAACATCAACAACCTAATCCCGGGTCTGTTCTCTGCACCCCGCACCCTGTACCCTGGCACGGGTGAGGTGGGCTGTGACTTCCCAGAGGTGGGGCCTTCTCATTCACGCAGAGGCCAGCAACAGCGGCAGAGGCCCTGTCTCCTAAGGGCGGGAATGACAAGTCCTTTCTGTGGAGCCCACAGTCCCTGCCCTTCTCTATCACAGCAAGGTCTACCCAGTTGTCCCTTCTGATTGTCTCCCCTCTGCCGCACCCCCTGGAGAGTCAAATGCGGATGAATGAGAAGTCTGTGCCCCAGGTCCATCCTTGGCCATGGTCCCATGAGCAGGTAGCTTGCACAGACGTACATGGGCATATTAACCAGCTTCACGGATGTGTAATGTCCGGGTTGGAGTTGATGAGGCCCGCAGAGACGCAGCCCCACTCCCTTACCTTCTTCCTGATCATGCACATCCTGGTACCCACACTCCTATCCACCACCACCTCAGCTCCATGTACCCCCTGCACAGACCTGTGCACGCAGGAACATCTCCCCTCCCACGCAGATTCGCTCCTAGGCTTCCTCAGCCTCCTACCAGCCTGCCACCTCCTCCAGGCAGCCTCTGCTGCTTCCTCTGGACTATCTGCTACCTCTGGGAACAGTGGCCTCCTCTGGCTCACCCCAGCTTCTGCAGCGCCCAGCACGCCGCCTAAGCAGGGTCACGAGAGCCTGCCTGGGGAGGAGTGGACCAAAGACGTGAGGGAGAAGGGAGAGGCGGCAGCGGGAGGGGGCGCGCGCGCG